GTCACAGTTCTTCACAAGGACATCTGCTTCTGAGTTTTATCAATTTATGCTGGGCTTGTATTTTCTGAGAATTTATTGGGATCTCATCTCCTTTAAATATATCGATTATTGTTGATTAAAAAAGTATATTAGATAAATTTTGGAATATGCATATTATATAATTTTGGGCTACTCGTTTAGAAAATACAACTATGATTTAATCAAAACCTTTTATCTATAATGATGTTGTTGAGTTTTGTTGTTTAAAAGACGAGAAGATAGACAAAAGTAAAGAGATGGAAAAAGCTATTGTAAGAGAGTTCTCCTCCTATATTATCTTTCTGAAAAACCTTTTTTGATATTAGACAGAAACTCCAATATCTTCTGAAATCTCACCATAAAATCTCACCAAATTGCCATAAATTTTTCTATTTTTAATTATAAAGATTTTAACAAATCCTCTGAATATCCTTCAAATCTCCTAAAATCTCCAAATTTGAAATCCATCGGATTCTTTAAAATTCCTAGTCCAGTACATCCTCCAAAATGTTTAAAACTTTATAAACTGTTTAAAAATCTTATAAACTGTTAAAAAAGATTATAACTTTTTAAAAACTTTATAATGTAAATGAAAACCCTAAATCCTCCCCCTCAAATCTATACCCTAAATACACAATAATTAACCAAAATTCATAAATTACAGTCGTTTGTATTTTTTATCAAAAACTTTTTTGGTTCTTCTTCTCTTTTTTGTGTTTACATGACGGTGAGATCTGATTTTGAGAGAGAGAAGAAAAAAAAAATTTATGAGAGAAAAGAAGAATAAAAAATGACATATTTGGTTTAATGAATTTTTCTTTTTTTGTGGTAATTTATAATTGAGAAATTTCAAAAAATGCCACTTTTCAAGTGCCACTTTACAAAAATGCCACACTTTTGAAATCTTTACAAAAATGCCACTTTTTCAAAATTATTTTTTCTCTATATTATTTATGTTTGGGTTAATTATGCTGTATTAGGGTTTAGTTTTGAGTGTTTAGGGGGTTTTAGGTGTCAAAACATTT